TGAAATCCCTAGAAAGAAATCAAAACCAACCCACAATGCTCTCATGAATGTCAAGAGAAGGTCTTGATTTAATAGCTGTTAGATTTGGTTTATAGAAAGATTTCTATCTCTGATGGCTCATTTTTGGTTGAAGAAAGCCTTTACCCTTCTGCTTTTGAAGCATCTTATCATCGTCAGAGCCTTCATGGTTGTCAGTTTTAAAATGGAACTTCCTTGGAGGTACAAGTGCAGCATTAACTGATAGCCTTAATGATGAGCACTGGAAATACGTAGAGCTTGTCTCTCTAAAAAACTGGGTGGACCCCAGTAGTGCTATCTGGGTTATTAAGTGTCTTTTAATAAATGACAGATACTCATGCTTCATTCTGCAACATCATGGATAGCCAGGTATTTTCCCTTTATTCTGTTTCAGAAAGTGAAGTCAAATACCCCGCTTTAGTCTAAACTATACATCTGCCAATAACCCAATTAAGATGTTTTTTGTCCTGTCATCTTGGAAAAGCTGGAAGACTTCCCATCCATAGTTTATAAATAATATTTTTCTCTATTCATTATCGCATATCCATCCATCAGTTATTCATCAATTCATTTTATTTTAGGTACATTTCAAAGACGTAGGCATTAGCTTACTTTACCCCAAACACTTAAGCATACAAATTGTTGCCTAATATTTGTAGTAGGTCTTAATTGTACTTGTTCTCATGTAGTGATGGAAGAGAAGCATGTTCCACGATGGTGGCATCACAACAGAATTGAACAGACATTTTTGTTTCTTCCCAAGAAAGTAGTAGAGCCCCTCCCCCCTTTGCCTATAATGGTTTTTATTCCCCTCCACAAATAAGACCAATGTCCATCCATTCCATGTTTTCCAACGATGGAACGCTCTGGATGGGTCAGTGGATGCACAGGGGTTTGAGGCAGAGCGTGCAGAGCAGGAGCCAGCTTGGGCTCTAGGTTTGACATCAAGGTTGCGTTTGGCAGCAACTGAGAGTAGGCACCTCGCTGAAGCTGCTTAATGATTCTCAGGGCTTAGGTTTCAGGAAAGCAGCTCCCATTAGTATTTAGGCCCTTCCCTCTATTGTTGCATTTCACCGTTTTGTGTCTAATGCAACAACCACTCTACTTTCCATGGAGTGGCCGTGGCATTTCCATGTGGTCTGTCTTGTGTGTTTGTATGTGAGTGTGAGTGTGTTTGTGTGGTGGGATTGTTTGCTTGATTGGGTGGTGTCTTTTGTTTGCTTTTGTTTGTTTGTTTTGTTTTGTTTTAACAATTCTGGCTTCCTTAAAGGAAGGCAGGATGATAGAATGAATTCAGAGATTTGTTTTGCTTAACTTTTAGTCACTTTATATAGCACTTCATTGATCAACTGCTTGGGTGTCGTATATTATTTATTTCTCATTCCACTCAGGCATTGATATTCTAATTGCTTTGTAGAAGAGTAAGCGATGCACAGAATGTAGTTAGGAGGGACCAAGGCTCACTTGTGATGAGCCTCACAGTTCATATGGAACTTGGTCAGAAAGGGGAAAGGGAATTCATGGAGACTCCATGTGTCTGGAAGCCTCTGTCAGCTAAGAGGGGTGCAGTGCCCTTCCTCCAACTGCACATCGTGGCCGTTTTTACAGGGTCAGCACACCCTTACTAAAGACCCATGCCAGTGAAATGACCCCGAGACAGCCCTGGGGTATCTTCATAGCACTGTGCCATGGTAATGGTCAGGGCTGAGGACCCCGACTCCCTAATCCCCAGGTCAGTGGTCTACCTGAGAGCAGCAGCAGCCTGTGTTACTTGTCTCTTAAGTGCACACATTGGATGAAGAGATTATTTTAGAGAGTGTTGTATCCCCTTTTCCCCATGACCTCCATCCTCTACCATGTTCCCTCTCTCCCTGCCTTTCAGTCAGGTGTTATAGCATCCTCTAAATCCAGACGTCTGGGGCAGGGTAAATACTCTAAGATTGACTGGAGAAATCTAGCGTTTATGCCCCCAAATGACATCAAGGCACTAAATGCATACCACGTTGTTTTTTATTCTCCTTTTCTTTGCTTTCTGGATTTTTATCTCACGTAAAGCATGTGGGGGTTTTATTTTTATATTTTTGTGTGTGTGTGCAGTGTCTGCCCCAAGCAAGTCTCTTGGGAGGAGGAGGCGGCGACTGGCCCGAAACAGGTTTACCATTGATTCCGATGCCGTCTCCGCAAGCAGCCCGGAGAAAGAGTCCCAGCAGCCCCCCGGTGGCGGGGACACTGACCGATGGGTAGAGGAACAGTTTGATCTTGCTCAATATGAGGAGCAAGATGACATCAAGGAGACGGACATCCTCAGTGACGATGATGAGTTCTGTGAGTCCGTGAAGGGCGCCTCAGTGGACAGAGACCTGCAGGAGCAGCTTCAGGCTGCCTCCATCAGTCAGCGAGAAAGAGGCCGGAAAACCCTGGATAGTCACGCTTCCCGCATGACGCAGCTCAAGAAGCAAGCTGCCCTGTCAGGCGTCAATGCAGGCCTGGAGAGCTCAAGCGAGGAAGTCATTTGGGTTAGGCGTGAAGACTTTGCCCCCTCCAGGAAACTGAACACTGAGATCTGACTGTGCCACTTCCCCGTAGAGAATGTGTGTAGATACTTCTTCCCCTGCCCTCACTGTGCCCCCCTTGTGCCGTCGACGAGAATGTTCCCTTAGGCCGCACTCTTGCACACACGGTTTTGGCAGCTGACTTGGTTCTGAAGCCATGTAGCCACCCAACTTCATCATCTGGAACAACAACTTTGAAAGAATTATTCAGAATCCCAAATAAGCTCGAGTCCTATCTCCTGTACATTACTAAGGGCTTTTATTTATTCTCAGTTCATCAGGGCCTAAAGAATGAAAAGAAGAATGATTTGTAGCACTAGAAGGCAAATCACCCCCAGGAGTGTAAGCATGTAGACAGATTAATTTAAGAGATAGCACACACACAAACATAGTTACGGTTGCTCTACCTGAAATCAGTCTCCTAGTTGCGGAAACCACTTTCAAGTACAAAATGAAACAAGACGAAACATGTACAGCTTGCAGTGTCCTAATTCCTTTCCCTCTTCAACGTCTGAGAATATTTGTGTATTTTAAGAATGTGTGAGGAGAGGGTGGCGATTTATGTTTTGATGAGCTTTTTGGTTTTTTTCTTTCCGTTTTGGTCTATGGCTGGTCTTACTCTATGTCAGTGTTCGGAAGCTCTAGTTTTGCATAGAATTATAAAAAGATGCCAAACTCTGAAGAGAGATCCAAATTTATCACTTGATAGAAAAAAGAAGACACTATTTTTTGTATTTTACCTGAAATGCAGAGGCACAAATAGATGAGAATTTTACAGTGTTAGTGTAACTCTGAGTCTAAAAAAGGAGGATATAAAAAATAAGGATATAACCTTTTACAGAGAGAGTGCGGCATGGTGACTTTATATTTATATATGAAAGGCCAACAGGAAACTCAGACTTAGGATACACTTTTTTTTTTTTTTTCCTAAGGAGCAGGTTTTTTTGGTTAATGTTTGAATCTATATTTGAAATGGGAGTTTGGTTGGATTAAACATGACACCCGAGTGGGCAGTGCGTGTTTGTTGCACATGGCGGGGGAGGGGAGCCTCTTTCTCATGGGGTTGCCATGGTGATCATTGGTTTTCCCATCAAAATTGCATCTTCATCCCTAGATTACCTAGGCCTTCCCTAAGGGTCCATAACCAAACCTCTTAACAAAACAACCTCTTCAAAAACATCTCTTGTGTTTAACACATTCTTTATGCCAATGAAACAGGGTAAACATGCTAAAACCTAACGTCCTAAACAGATATCCAAATAGGAAGAATAAAAACAAGTTACAGCACTTTGCATTTTTTTTTAAAACAGTTTATAGCTTTTTTTTTTCTTTCCCATTTCATGATGTCCACTTCCTAAGAAGGGTTTAAATAATATGAAAACTTTCTTTTTTGGGGAAAATATCTATTTGGTGTTTGACACATCAGTAGGTACTTTAAAGACCTGAATTTTATAGTAGCTTTAGGAATTCTATTTTATAAAAATCAGTTATGACTTTATATTTCCAGACAATAGAGTTCAGAACATCATGCTCTTGTGCCCCTGCTTGCTTCCCCTGCCCTCCACCCTCTCTCCCTTCCCTTTCGGGTTTCCAGGGCTTTGAGCTTGATCTTTTGAAAGTTTTATTCTATTAAATTTTTGCTATATCTCCTGATTTTCTTAAAAAGCTTTAGAATGGTTTCTATACCCTTTGTATCACTGCATTGTTCCATATCATCTCCGGTTCGATTGTGTCCGGATGGAGAACAGAAGCTGAGGCTTCTATGAGTCGTATTTCCTAGTCCCGGTGCAACGCGTCCATCTGAAAATACTGGAAAGTGGTGCTTGGAGAGGGTGCCATTGTCTCTTGTACATAAGGTCATGACGTGTCTATGTCAAAAGTTCTTATATATTTCTTTTATAAGCTGAGAGAAGGTCTATTTTTATGTTTTTAGGTCTATGAATGGAACGTTGTAAATGCCTGTCAAACAATAAAAATATTGAAAAGTGTCTTCATGGTTCTCTGCCTTTTTGGACAGGACCACAGTATGAGCTGTTGGCAGTAGAGAGCCCATGGGAGAAAATTCCTGGAAGTGTCTTTCTAAGAAAAATAACTCTCATGATCATCAAGGGAAAGCTGGCTTGGGAGAGCTTGCAGTTTTAACAAGAAAAATAGCAGGCATTGCAGTTGCTCTGCATCTCGGTCTGAAGATTTGGAGAATGGAAAATACTGCAGATCTGAGAGACTTCAAAACATTTGTCAAAATGGAATTAAAGTACAAGTCATTTTAGTGGGAAAAAATATGGAAGTCCATGAATAGGTTTTTCATAGCATGCACTTTCCATAAACTTTCTGAAGACCCCCTTGTAGGCACCTGTGCTGGGCACTGTTTCTTTTCCAGTCTTCTGCCCCCTCCTAGTGGGAGCAGGCCAGGGGTGGAGCGCAGAGGTCAGACTGACCTGGTTGACAGAGCTCTCACATTCCACCTATGTCACCAGGACCTGCCATCTGGGTCTTTCACAAAACCGCACATAGTGAAAGGTAAATGCGGCCTTTGGCTACCCGCTTTTCCTTTTTCTGAGTCTCAATCTTTTTCCTCCTGAGTCCCTTACAGTCCGTTCCTGGCCCAAGTTACCTGCTCACCTACTCTCCAGGTGAGAAGGGTTTCTCTTCCTTTCTGCCGAGGCTAGGACTAAAAGAGTCATCTTCTAGAAGAGTTCCTTGCCAGCAGCTGGTGAGCCCTGCTTGGAGGGCCTAGGTCCCCACAGTGGAGGTCGGATGCCAGTGTCACAAGATGGGGGTGGGGAGCTAGAAATGCAGAATCTTGGGCACCTCCATGAGGCACTGAACCAGACCATTGTAACAAAAATCTCGAGTGATTCAGATACATGTGCACCTTTGAGAAACGTTATTTTGGTGGCCTCCAAATATTTTGATCTTGAGCAGTGATTTGGAGCACATAAATTTTTGCTTTAAGTAAATTCAAGCATTTCTGCAAGAATATATACATTTTTTAAAAAGAATTATTTATTTAATTTATTCATTCATTTATTTTAATTTGACCAGAGAGACACACAGAGAGAGAAAGAGAGAGGGAAAGTGAGAAAGCAAGCCACCAGGTTTGGGACTTGAACTGTGCTGGGCCATGTGGGAGTGTCCAGCACCTTAACCACCATGCTACCTGATGGTCCCAAGAATATATACATTTTTAACATACAAAAAGATTTCTTTCAGGGCTGGCCCCATATTCTATTGGTTATGGTAGCTAGATCCCACATGGCCAACTGGTTCAAATCCTGGCCCTGACGGCTTGAAAAACATGTCAGGTGTGTGTGTGTGTGTGTGTGTGCCCAGAATCCTTACTATAGAGAAATAAAGGATAAAGGAGAAGAGATTTCAGGGACCACACCCCATGGACAAGGTGCCCTTCTCCTCAGTCTCTGTCTCTGGTGAGTACACACGCCCTCTGATAATTAAAAAAATAAAAATTCTTTCTGTATCTAATGCATCTTTCCTAGGGAATGACTGAAACCAACTTAACACCCAATGAAATTATCCAACACTTACACTCTGTATTGAGATGTAGCAATTTTGGTTGCTTTCCTATCCAGTAACTGAATCTGTGAGGAGGAAAGGCTTAATATCAAGTCTAGAGGAATAACCATGATGTCCCCTGCCCCTGTCGCAACTTATTCTCTTTTTCAGGCGTGTATCCCAGCAGGATGGCAGAAAATATCTCCAATTTATCTTTCCGTCCCTGATTTTCAAGGTTTAGGGGACCTGAGGTAGGGTCCTCACCCACAGCCTTGGGGTCCATTTGTCTACAAAGGTTACCGTAGCTACGGCCAACGTCCTTGTCCACGGACTCTTTAAATTGTTGTATTTGGTTTTTGGGTTTTTTTTTTGGGGGGGGAGGTTTTTGCTATAGGGTGTGTGCACTCATCAGAAAGTCAGAAAGTAAGAAATCACCCCTCAGGGGGATGGCCATGTTGCAATCTCTTCTCCTCCATTCTCTTCTTGGGATCTTGGGCATGCACACACATGCACCCAGCATGAGTTTAAGCTGCTGGGTTCAGGACTTGAATGGTGGTCAGTTACATGGGAGTTCAGTGATGTAACCCTTACGCCATCTGCTGGTCTCTGGGCTCTTCAAGTTTGTGTTGGACCCTCTGCTTTTTCCTTTTGCCCACTTCTCTGTGGATGGATCCATCAAGGGCACCTCTGCAATCTGGTCCTTGGCATTTTGTCTCCCTTCTGGGGTGTTGCTAGGTTGCCATGTTCTGGCCCCTTCATCCCTCAGACTTCTCCTGTCCTAATCTGCAGCCACTGGAGATGTGTTTTCTTTGTGTGGATGCTTTTGGGTGGGGACCAGAGGAGCAGTGGAGAAAAACCTGTATCTTCCTTTTACAGACTTTTTGTTGATATCCATGTTTTCTAGGCAATTTATCCTCTTTTGCCACAAACATTCCTGTCACAGGAATCCCGTAACTGTTGGCTTCTTAGAATGGGATGGGGGTGTCAAACATGTGTGGGAAAAGGGAGAAGGGAAAAATGTAGGAAGAAAAACACTGAAAATATTCACTTTTGTACAGAATGAATGAGATCAGAATAGCAGTATCATATTCTCTATATGAAGCCAATGATTGAAGAAAGAAAGAATATTCAATACACACAGTGTGAATGTGGAGGACTTCCATAAACACATAGAGTATATGTATTATCTCCTGTTGACCAACGCAGTGGTAGGAACTGTCCTAAAATATGTCCTGAGATCACTTTCCATTGTTTGCCCTGTTATACCAAGAGAATTCATTCCATAGGCAACCCACAATGGAGTTTGGTCTATTCCATCCTTTCTACAGAATAGAGCTACTTTTGACCTGTAAACTATACTGTTTCAGTTAGTCAATGTCTATCGCCCAAAGTTACTGCCTTAGTCTTGTTCCTCAGTATAATGTAATAGATAGACAAGACCTTGTGTCACTGCTATCAAGCAACAAACTCATTATGGGCTAGAGATTTCTAACCTGCGGGCAATAGATCCTCTTCTGTTGTCTGGTGACTTGGTATTATTCAAAAACACAGGGAGAGCTGGCCCCACAGCCTAATGGTTGAAGTGAGCCAGATCCCACATGGCAGACCACAGTTTGAGTCTTGGCTTTGGCAGTGTGGAAAACATGCTGAACAAATCCCAACCATTTGGAGAAGGACTGTGGCATGATCATGTCCCACCGAGGTGTGTTTCCTCCTCCTTCTCTGCTTTGCTTTCCCACAGGTGTGTTTTTTGAGCACCCATATTGCATATTCTCTGTGCAGTGACCCAATTACTTTGTTAGAGTCTAACTGAAGAGGAAGCTTTGGGTACAATTATATGTGTTTTAAAGACTTTGATGCACATTTCTACATCGAAGGCTGCCTCACTCCTGCTTGGCTTCTGGGTGGTGGCCATGTTCAGTGTCTGCACTCCATCACAAATGCCTGCGGCTTTGCCACGGGGAACTGGCCTTTTCATTGGAGCTTGTATTTACATTCTCTGGGCTGGATGGGCTTGGTGAGCTGAGCATCCTCCCTATCCTGTCCTTCATCCACATTTACTTTTTCTGGTATTTTAGACATTATTCTGGTCTACAAGGTACAGGGTATTTGCAAAGGTAAGAGTCAAGCCTCAGCGCATTCTCACTCTCAAAGCTCCTGGATTTCAAATATCTTTAATCCCCAACACCATTCATGCTGTTTCTTGTTTTGCTTCTAGGTTTAAATGAAGATAGAGGTTTTTTTGTTGTTGTTTTGTTTTGTTTGAGAGTTTTTTGCTATAGAGCACGTGCACTTGCCAGAAAGACAGAGACAGAAAGCAAGAAATCACCCCCTAGGGGGGTGGCCACACTGCAAACCCTTCTCCTCCATTCTCCTCTCGGGATCTTGGGCACACACACGTGCCTGGAATGAATTTAAGCCACTGAGTCCAGGACTTGAACTGTAGTCGACTATATGGGAATCCAGCGACATAGCCATTATGCCAACTGCTGGTCTCAAGACTGAGTTTTGAATGACCGCAACAAAATCAATTTTCTATCACAAGTACACTTGGGCCAATTCACTCCTCTTCCCAGCAATAATCTTCTGTAGCCAGGGATTACATTCTTTGAAACTATTTACATTGATGATGAAAAA